TGGTTCAAATTCCAAAAACCTTGGCTTAAATAACACTGTATTTGGTAGGGTTAAGCAAGTTCGACTTTCATCTATCTTGCAACACTCCCTCAATGGTGGCGATGGCAGTGCCCCCTCATCATCACCTTCTCCAGCTCCTCTACCTCATTCCCACCATCACCACCATCACCACCACCATCACCACCATCACCATCACCACAATGACCATCTAGCTCCTGCAACTTCTCCAACACCTGCGACTCAGACAGCTGCACCTCTGCCAGCGCATGGTTCACCTGCCCCAATGAAAAATTCACCTGCACCTCAGAAAAGTCATGAGGCAAAGCCTCCTGGCTGCCACAGTGCGAATAAAAAGGGGTCTACAAAAAAGGGAAGGACACAGTCCCGTTTGGCCCCTACCATTGCTCCCACTATTTCTCCTCACCGTTCTGCTGCCTCACCGCATGCACGTATAGCTCCACCGAGACCTATGCCTGCACCTTTCTCCCATTCACATCCTGCATCAAGTCCTTTGCCAAATGTTGTTTTTGCTCATGCGAGGCCCCCATCAAAGAGTGGTTCAGACGTGGAGCATCATAACTCAATGCCGCCAGTGTCACAATCTCCTTTTTCATGTGAGTATCTCCTATAATCGTAATTTGATGCTCCAAATATTTTGAATCTGACATAACTCATTTCATGCAATCACTGTCTGGTGGATTTGTCGTGCAATGATATGATTGTTCATTCAGGTTATTTTATCTTTGCTATATCTCTAAGGGGTCCTCAATTGATAATTGATGAATCATTAGATTGGCCAGTTTGATAATTTGATTTATACTTCAAATTTTTTTTATTTCATTTTAAGTTATCTTTTGTCTTAGACTTGCAGTTGAAATTATTTTCTGGTGTCTATTACCGTAAAAATGCAAACTTAACTTTTGGTTGATAGCAAATATCAGTTAATAAGTATGGTTTGTTATTTTTGCAGCTTCTGCAGGTGATACAGCTGTTCAATTGGCGTTGTCACTCTTGTTAGCTGTTGTATTACATTTTTAACAATGAAGACGAAATAACCTACTGTCTAGATAAAATTGCTTCTCTGGTATTCGAGGGAATCAATTGTATTTTTCAAATTTAAATGGACCGATAAATTGGAGGAGCTTTGTAAGTGGGAGCAGCGCAAAGGGCGTGCCTCACATCTGAGTGGATATATGTTTTTGTGCATGTAAATATTGGATAAAAAAAAAAAAAAAAAATACAAGCTGGCAGACGCATTATCAGGTCAAAGTCACAGAGGTGGCAGGCCCTTGCTTATGTGCATTACTGCTGTTTTGTGTATTCTCTTCTGCAGAAATGTAAGGAGGTAAAAGTAACAAATGTATCACATTACCTTTCTGTTTCTCATCCTTTAAAGGCCAATCAGGTATGAAATTTTGACCTCAAATTATCGCTCTTTTCTTCTTGTTCTCTGCAGTCTGTCAAAAGTGACTCGTGCTTGGCTTGTTTAAACTCTTAAGTGTATGTTGATCAATGTTACTTTGGACAATATTTGAAGTGTCAAATTCTGTTTAACATATAATCCACTGATGCTTTTGTCATTCATGTTCTAGCATAATTACCAAACATCATTGGAAACACATGCGTGCCCTCTTATTTTTTTCACTCCATAATAGATTTTGTTTAAGCAAAGTCCCTAGGTTTCTAAAACTAGTGTCCAGTGCAAGAGCTATAAGTGCTAGCGATGTGCGATCTCCCCAATGTGGTTGTGGTATGTGTCGACTCACCATGACGGAGAGAAGCAATTTAATTTTGTTTTTTTGTGTTTGGGAGTGCGAATGGGGAAGCAATATGGTGGTTGGATGTTTGGTGGATGGGATGCCATCTAGATTTGATATATTGATGTCTACAGGGGGATGAGTGCAAGTATTGAATTGTTTATACATTGTTGGTCTCATAGGCTAAAATTTTGAGATACATGGTTGGTGTGCTATCTCCAAGCTTTCAAATCAATTTATTTCAGTAATTTAACGCTTTGAAGTCTTGGTTGTTGGACTGCTCTTTAGTTTCTTGAGTTAGGATGTATCTATCTACTACTACTGCATTACTTGAAGTTATCATCTGTGCTGGTGCTTGACAAAATGACCTTTCTTACAGAGTACAGGGTTATCCTTATTAAAATTAGGAGATTTCAAACTAAGAATTTTCTCAAACCCTTATTTTTGTCTAAATCTTTGGGGAAGTCTCTAGAGGCATGTTAAGAATATCAACCTTGAGGAGAACTTGCAATCCCAAATGGCAGATGGGATTGCACAGTATTGTGCTACAGTATTGCTGCATTTTTTTTTTAAAAGAGAAACTTTGCATTATTTTAAATACCTTTTAGTCCAAACAATATGCAGGAAAACAAACCCGTGGGCCCCCACGGGTCTTCTTTCGTAACCTCGTGCAGACATTATGTTTGCGTAAGGGTTGTAACTTTTAATATATATAACTTTTAATATATATTAATATAATTTATTATTATTATATATATTATACATAATAATATTTTTTTAATTAATTATCTGATAAAATAAAAATATTTTTCAATATTTTAAAATTTATTTTTGTAAAATATTTTAAAAATATAAATATAAATTAAGTACAATTCAATTAATAATAAAAGTTATGCATTTAATTAATTTTTATTCAGATTATTTAAATATTATTTGAAGTTTTTAAATATGTAAATAAGGGAAATGATTTTTATTTCCCGTTAAATTGATAACTATTCCTCATTGTTATACACACTTTTATTATATTTTAAAAAATTTCTCTTTCCTAATTTTAAATCTGAAAATTTCTCTTCTTTAGATTCAAAATCACCACGTCATGTGATTACTGCATTAGTAATATATTTTAATAAAAAAATTATTTGAAATAAAAAATTTTGTTTCAATGATTTATAAAATTTAGATTTAGGGTTTATAACTTTATATGTTAAAGATAAAGATAAAAATATAAAATAGAGAATAAGTGTATTTTAGAAATTATTATGTCATTAATGTCAAGTTTGTCAAAGCGAAAATACATTTAAAAATGAGGGATATTGAATTAATTTGATAGGGCTATGAATAAATTTGTTAAATACAATACTTTATCAAAATTCAAACACACTGTACTGTCCTATCTAATTTAATTCAATCTAATACGGTGTGCCAAAAATATTCTTCAGGGGTGATTGGTTCTTTTCCCCAAACCTCGCTCTAAAATTTGACAGGTTTTTGGTACTTTTGTATTTAGCAAGGTTATACTTAATTTCTAGTTAATTCAGACTGTTAGGGCCAAAAATCGTCCTTGGTCCAAATAGGGAAATAGGACCATTAGCGAAGATGGACCAGGCCCAGTCCTGTAAAGGCCCAAGCCATGTTAGTCCTATTTTAACATGAGGTATAAACCGGCCCAAATCAAGCGGGCACAAGCCTCTCAAACCTAGCCCATTTCCTAGGTCCGCGGACGAATCCAGAGCCCACAGCCCTGTCATAGTACTTTCCTACTCCCAATCAACCTCCTATTCAAAGACGCCTTCCTATTCCTGATCACTTTCCTACTTAGCGAATTCTCTTAAACAGAGTTACCTTCCTATTTGGACACTGGTAAGACAACTCACCACGATCCTAATTCTTCTAGGGTTTACATCGGAGTCATATTAGGACTCCTGCTCCCATCAGGATTGGGAAACCAGACGACCACTATATAAGCAGAGGCCAGCCTTCTCACAAGAGACATCGACATTACACCTTCACACCCGAGACTCTTTACTCGAGAGTTTCACTGATTCGCCGTAGTCACAGTCCCCGACTAGACTTCCGGTAATCTCTTATTCCTTAGCCCTCACTATATTAGCCTCTTTCAGCCTTGCTGACTTGAGCGTCAGAGTGCCTACGGCAAACACCACCCCGGTGTTTCCCGTTCGCTTCACGCGTGTGTTTCTCTACGTGTGCAGCTGCAGCGGATCGCTAGTGGCCTCAATCTCACGGGACCAGAACCTCCTTTCCGTACAGGTAGATTTTTACATCTACACAGACCAAAAATAAAAATAAGTTGACCAAAAATATTAACTGGTATATAACGTCCGATGAATAAGAGGCAGTCTTAAAGGTTATTAGATCCGTAGTTCAACTTTGCTGCAATTCTTTGTCCCACTGTATTTGTGCCTACAATAAAAATGATTCTCCTGGGAAAAGGCTATTGGAGTCCTAGGACAAAAGAACACATTTGAATCAGAAAACCCAAATCGCAAGCAAAATCCTTTCTTCAACTAGAATGTAACATAGATGAGTACATCTTGAGAATAATAGACAGAAGAAGATAAAAGTCTTGAAGATTTAGAAAGAGGATATTTTAGAGATAAAATAAATTATTATTTAAAAATTAAAATTTTAAATATATTTTAGAAAAAGATCCAGTGGACTCAAATAAGACTATTCTTTGTTAAAATACAGAGACAAATAATATATACAATTAGATGAAATAATTTCTCTTCAACTCTAATCTCAAACTCATTTTTACTATTGTATAAACTCTAATGTGTAGTTCTTCTCATTATATATATATATATATATATATATACACTACAAGCTCATCAAAATTTATTGTTGATGGTGGATTTTGGTCGTCCACTTAAATAATCTTTTCCTAGCTTGGAGTCCACCAATGTTTGCCTTAGCTCTTAGTCAAGGAGGTGAACTTCGACCTACAACGCAACAACAGAGTTTAAGGGACCAGTGAAGGTGCTCCTGACGAGAACCCTCTGACGCCTAAGTTAGTCAATCGAGTCCGTTTAAGTTCAACGTACTATCACGAATTAGATATTTTCATGACGTTGGACTTGCCAACCTCATTAATTTACCCCCTTTTATGTGTATTAATTAACAATAATTACCCAAAGAATATTCTTGCAAAAACTACAATAACTATAGAGAGAGAATGGGTTGAGAGTTATCAATTTTTCATACCCTTCTAACTTATGAAGCTCTCTTTATAGAGTGGATAAAAAACACTGCCTGCAGTTGTTTGCCTCTGAATCTTTGTCACACGATCTTCAAAGGTATAAAATATAATTTTTTTCAACTCCTTCATGCTTGTGAAAATGTTATAGTTTATTAGTTTGTTATCTGAATCTTTATGTTTATTTTCAGACACACCCATCGGCCATAACAGTTCATAGACTTGTTTCATACTTTCATGTCATCACTCATCAGTTCAGTGGACAGTGGATCTTCACAGTTCACATTCATTAGTCATTAGACTCATTACTGATATCAGGTGGGAAATAGTGATGCTAGTTATATTTTCCTTGGGTTATAGTTTTTACTTTGTATGTATGTATGTATGTATCACGGAATGAGATGTTAAACCCTCGTGTTATCAATGAAATGCAGATATTTCGAAGGCATTCCTGAGGCTGTTTCAGAGAGTGAGCAAAGAGGTGGTTGATTAGTTACCAATATTTTGGGTCCTTAAGAATCTTTACTTTTATTTTTATTCTTGGCGGTCCTTATGAATCGTGATTCATAGTCATAGCCATTTTTGTATACTAAGCTAAAATTGAAGGTTCTATACTCGTGCATGCTTGATTTGTTTGGTTTTTCATGTATGATTGTTGTTTATTATTATTGGATTTGTGTGAACAATTTCCCTGCTTTGGAGAGATTTTGGGTCCTTAAGAAATGAATAGGAATATCCGAATATGTCATGTAATTAAGGTGTGTAGTTGGGCGTCTGTTACTTGCCCTCCATCTCATGATCAAATCCTGCCTTGAATTGAATAACCCAACTTTCACAATAATAAATTTATTGACAGATTGGAGTAATTATTGGAGTCAACTTCAACCATAAGATTGATTATATACTTTATGTTTAGATTGCAATCAGTTTGGTTAATTATATGTTGCTCTTTTGGGTTTAGGGTGATCTAATTAAAGAACTTTTATAATTGCAGATTGAACAACTGCCATTTTTACATTATTTAATAGGAATTCTCATTATTAAGCTACATTGAATGCTGCAATTATATATATAACAATTTTACATTTCGTTAATGCTACATTAAATATATATAAAAGTTATAATAATGAGATCTTATGTTTAATTTGCATGTTGTGAATTCTTCAATTATAGGTATGGAAAGCTCGTCCACAACCGACCGACATTGAATGATACAATTTCACCGGCTGAACCTCATAACTTGAATGAGGCCACAACGCTAATGAAGAGGAGAATGACAATCCACTTCAAAGCAGAAAGGGAGCTAATGCATTTGCTATTTGGACATAATTTAAAGAGGTGATCCTTCCTGACGGTTCAAGGAAGGTAAGAGTTGTATCCACTGTAAGGGCAAACTACAAATTACTTCAACCAGAAGCATTATCCAATTTTTAAGACATCTGAAAGGGTGTGTGAGGCGATTAGCTTCCACTAGGCAACATCAGATTAATTTCCCCCGTGTCGGTTCAAGTGTTGTAGGAAATGTCATCCCGCTCTTATAGGCAAGTTCGACATGGTGAAAATGAGGGAATTAGTTGTCCATTAGGTGCTTATGCATGAGCATCCATTTACAACTGTGGAGGAAGAGGGTTTCAACAATATGATAAAGTATGAGATTCCTACATGGGGCATGATTTCACGCAATAGTTGTAAAAATGATTGTATGAAGGTGTGTGAAATAGAGAAGCAAAAGTTGAAGACATTGTTGAAGAGTGTTAGTAAAATTAGTGTGATGACATATTTATGGAATTCAAGCAGTCAAAAGATTTATGGAATTCAAGCAATCAAAAGATTAGTGTGACGACAAATTATGGTGGCTTCAGAGGCTACTTTTAGTGTCGGAAGTAGAGTTATTGACACTTATCGAGCTTCACTGTCTCTCAAAACAGTACAAATGCTATTATGTGGAGGTGATTGGTGTCGCAATATCAATGAAATGAAGAAAAAGAGCAAAGTAAGTTCCATTTTTGATAATTTTAGAAGTATTTTGGTCCTATTAAGTGGTTACTCTTATTTTAGTCTAATGTAAACTTATTTTTTTTCCCGTTTTGTATTTTACAAAGAGAAGCAACCAGTGGAGATTAAGCTTCCTATCCCTTCAGTTGGAAATCAAGAGATTGTTTGATCCTTCTCCCTTCACTCATTGGCTGTGGCAGCAGGCAGACGCATGTCCTTTCTTTAAAATTTTCTGAATTGGATTTCTGTTATTTGTTCTTGTTTTGCTTGGTTTATTTGAACATGGAGATGCTGAGAATTGTTTGTTTTGAATATTATATAACGCCATCACCAACATTATATATATATCATGAGTTGTAATTGAAGATTAGAATAATATTATTCTGTTTCTAGATAGTTGTAATTGACATATTTGTGGGCCTGTTTTCATGTTTCATTTTATAATATAGATTAAGCTTGAGAAATTACAACCTGAGCAGGAGAAATTATCCAGACTGTTTCGAGATTATGTATTGTAAAATAATGGATCAAGATCTTTTTATTATTTGAATTTTGCCGAGTTGTATATATCCATGAACATGTTAAAACTTTTTGGAGTTTTTCCAGTTTAGATATTCTACTTGAGTTTTGTTGCCCAGCCTACAATTTATATATGGGCCTATTTTGTAGTTTTCAATTTGTAGTTTTCTTCATCCTTTTGGAGCACGATGTTGTTACCTTTATTATTACCTTTGGCTCAATTTTGTGCAACAATGGTATGTATAATTGAAGATTAAACTAGCATCTCTTAAATTAGCCATGGAGTATATGAATTATGAAGAAAATTTCCCCCAAGTTTGAAATGGAAAAAAAAGAAACTAACTGAATTGGCTTTGGTTGCAGAAATGAAAAAAAGAGTGCTTACGGCAAAATCAATGTTGCATGTTTCAAGGCTTGCAGTACCAATCCGGCGAACTGAAAGCACATCCTTCTCCAAAGTGGCCAACTGAAAACACATCCTTTCTTTCAAACACTTTTAACTTAGTATTTTGTATTTACTGTATCTTAATTTTCATTGCAAGTTTGAAGCTAGAGTTCTATTCATATTTTGATATATAGTTCACTTGAGTTCTATTCATATTCATCCAAAAAACGTATTTCCATATCGGATTCAGTGAGCCTCTCACAAGCTTAATGTTGTATTCTCTTTTAGGGTCAAACCAAAATATAACACTACAATTCCTCTTCGAATAATAGATAATCGCTTGGTTTGTCAATCTTAGAGGTGGGCATTTGGGACCGGACCCAAAAAGCCCATCCAAAACTCGGGCAGGACCGGCCTAGGGGGTCCAGTCCCTAAACCTGGCCCAAAACATGGAGGAGGGCCCGGGCCCAAATATATTTTTTTAAATGCCCCTTGGCAAATTACAAAGCCTCCCTATTTTTTTTAATTTACAATAAATATAAAGGCTAAATTGATATTTTATAAAAAAAATATATTGCATTGAGCAGCCAACAGGCAATTGACCGTTGGCTGCTCAATCAACGATCAAATGACCATTGAAGCCAACGGTCAGTTGATCGTTGGCAGGGGGGACTTTATTTTTTTGCACTTTCCCCCCCAAACATCAACTATAAAACCCCCTATATTTCACATTTTCTTTACAACTCAACTCTTAATCTATTCTCTATTCTCTATTCTCTTCTCTCAATCTCTCAACTCAAATTCTCTTCAATTCAATATATATTTACATTTATTCATTTTTTTTTTCCATTTTTCAATTTCATTTATTATTCATATTATTATTCAATTTCTTTCATTTTAATTATTTATTATTTCATTATAAATACATAATGGATTCCCAAAATTATGCATTCGGAGGATCATCCCTAAATGAGTTTTTACGTTCCATCCACCAAAGAAATGGAAGAGTTTGATCCATTTTCACCATTTCAAGAGGCAACAACTCCAATTCCACAACCACCAACGGTCGGGACTGGGTCTAGTCAAACATAAGCAAGTTGCAACTCCACGACTCGGCCGTCAAAGAGAGTTGTCTCTCCGGGGTATGGCAATTCTTCACCAAATCAAAACAGCCAAAGCTAAATGGGTTGGGGGAAGAGATGTGCGGAGAATGTAATTGCTCAACTATTATCGGCGCTGAGAACAAGACTTCAACGATGCGGCAACACCGGAGAAGAAGCACCCCTAACAAATGCAACAATCCCGCCAGTCCGGTTTAGGTTCAAGTACTGCACTAAGTAGGCAAATTCAAACTCAACTTAATTTTAATCTACAATCCTCAACTGTCTCAACATGGAATTACAATGCACGCACAACACGAGAGGAAATAGCAAAATTCATATGTGCTATGGACTCTCTTATTTCTTTATCTAAAAATCCTTATTTTGTTCAAATGATTAAAACTGTTTTTTTTTTTTCTTTTTTTTTTTAGCATTTACCCCTTTTAGTAGAGCTACAACTAGAAGGGACATAAAAAACCTTTATGATTAAAAAAAAAAAAAATCAACTTAAAAAAAAATTTCAAAATTTTATGAATATATCTATTGCACTTATTTAAGATATATGAGCTGCTAGATCAAAAACAATTTTTTTTTAGTGTCACAATACATTATTTAGATCATGGTTGGCATTTACAACAAAAATTGATAGGTTTTAAAGCATTATATGAAAAACAGTGCTAAAACTATTTATTTTACAATTATTGAAGTTTTGCAAGAATATTTATTATTTGAGAGAGTTGTGGTGCTAACGCTTGATAATGCAGCTGCTAACGCCTCGATAATTTCTTTATTTGAAAAGAGATTAGATATGTATGGTGAAGATAAATTTTTTCACTAGATATGTGCTTACTATATCATCAATTTGATTGTTAAAACAGGTTTAAAAGCTATATATTCAAGGATTGAAAGGGTGCGCGCGACTATCGAATTCATGGCCGGTAGCAATTCAAGATGGACTGACTTCTGTAAATATTGTCGCCAAGCGGATTCGCTGATTCAACCAAAGAAGGCATGTATAGACATGTCTATCCGTTGGAACTCTACGTACTTGATGTTGGAAAAAGCTATACCAACTGCAAGACAAATTTCAGAGCTCTTCAACCGGAAGAACTATCCGGAGGAAGTCGTCAATGAATCTGATTGGATGGTTTGCGAGCTATTTTTTTCGTTTCTTAAAGTTTTTTACGATTCTACCAATTTATTAAGTAGTATTTATTATTCAACTACTAATGTAGCGTTAGATGTTTTACTTCGAATTTCTACAACTTTTGCTACATATAGATATAATGAAGATTTTCGGGACATTGTTAATGCAATAGAAAAAAATACCGAAAATATTGGTTAGGTATTCCATTCTTATATGGATTAGGTCTTATTATAGATCCTAGATTTAAATCAAGCGTATTTAATTTTACGGTTGCTGAGATAGGCCATAATTTACAATATGCCTATAATTCTTATTTGATAGAATTTAACAGAAAATTGGAAAGTCTTTTTTCTTTGTATGA